TTATAAGGAAACGGCTAATATCAACTAGGACTTTTTCCCTTAATAAAAAAAGTACATATGTATCCAATATTCTTCTTCTTCTATGTAACATGTTTCTTCAGGGCAATAGCAATCATGGCTCTCCACAATTTCCTGTCCTTTGCAACTCTTAGTAAATTATGTTTGCTATTTCTCCTAAATCGTTATGCCCATTCATTTACATATGCTTGTTAGGCAGGGGTTATACGTTGTTTTTATCAGTCACTTTTGACTTCAATATGACCTATGAGTCAAATTTTCCAAGCCCTTTATCCTCATTATGTACCTAGGAATTTGAAATTTCTTTTTCTGATGCTAATTATATGTCATTTTTTTGTTTCGATTTTATCTAATACTTCGTCGTTGCTCACATGTTCGGTCCATGCATCATTCTGTAGAACCACATTCCTGCTGTTACAAGTCCCTTTTTCATCTGTGCCGGTGTTTTTTTATAAATAACACTACGCACACTAGTTCTGTTGACATTCTAGAGCAGACGCCTCGATTTAGGTTACCACTCATAAATTCTGTCCTATTTATGTAACAGCGTCATCAGACTGCACGTCTACGCGAAACTTGATACCCCCAAGGTACATTTGTGTTAGTAACGTATTCGTTTACAATCTTGAAAATTAAGACGTACTTGTTTGTTTTTTTTCGGCATGAAATCTAGTTAAGTGCCTAATCCCGAAGAGAGAGCACCTCAACGTTTCTCTACTGGTTAACAAGGTTGTCACACTACATGAATTATGACTGAATTGTGATTTCGATCCTCACTGAGTGCCCTACTACTTTCGGCCTTGTGCCACATATTTAGAAATTCACCATAATCCCGAAGAGATGCCTGCGCACTTTCTGCCAGCAAAAATTTGTCATTTCTTATCCTTTCAAATCTCGGATGTGGCCTTACTGTTTCCTCACTTACATGGTCTTACAATCTCTTAGACATATCCAAAGTGCGACCCGAGGACCAATTACGACCAGCGATCAAATTTCATATGGCTCCCATCCTCTGCCACAGAATGTATCACGGCCCGCCAGTATTGTCAATCAGAGTATATAACTACACACCTAAGTATTACATTTTCATGTTTTACCAAAAGATGGCAACAGCACGGTGGGGTCGCCTTCTGGCGGTGTGGCCATAACCTTGGCTTCTTCCAGCCATTTTTTTTTAAATTACTGCCTTTGAATCCGAACTGCAGTCCAGATATCAGTATTACCTTTTAAATTAGTGCATGCATGTTATTTGTTTTGGGTTATCTGAGATGAATAAATTCTAAAATTAAAATTAAATTTGTTGGTCAAAATCAGTTGTAAATATATTTGGACACTTGAACTTGTGTTACTTCATGTTTTTTACTGCTTAATAAGATAAATGTTTCTGTTACGATTCTATTCATATATTTTTAACTTAAAAGTTGAGAGACAACATTAATTACCAATAACATGTAATGTTTAAGATTAACCTGAAATATATAACAGCTTTTCCTGGAAGTTCTTTTTTCTCAAACATATTTTACTTCATCTTATATGGATTTCAGGAGACACGGTGGAGTAATGGATAGCGGCTGGGATTGAGTTCGAATTCCAGTCACATCCATTAAATTCACTTACGTGCTAATACCCTCGGGAAAGGTATGAATCCTTTTCTCCCCACACCCATAGCTGTGGGTAAATAGCTGGACAGACCGGGTTCTATAGTCTTGGGTGGCAACTGGTCTAGGAGAAGGACAACTCTGAATTCAAAACCTGATTCTCTAGGGTGGGGCTTATGCAGTAGGCTAATAACCTACGCACTTAAAAAAAAAAATTAACAGAAACAGCTTGATAACAGAAACCTCAAAGAATTTAACTTTCATATATATATATATATATATATATATATATATATATATATATATATATATATATATATATATATATATATATATATATATATATATATATAAAGATATTTTTGTAGGTACAAATTTTAATGATCGAAATAAAAGTATAAAACTTTATATTACGAGACATATTAAAAACGGGCGAAGCAACTGGTTTCGCTCCTGCTCTTCAGGCTTCAACGGGAGATTTAAAATTAACACAGAAAAATGTACAATAAAAGGATGTTGTGAAAAAATATATATATATATATATATATATATATATATATATATATATATATATATGGGATTCAGATATGACAGGCTGAGTGATTTTGGTAAGACCTGGTTAAATTTATTTGTCATCCATGTGAAGAAATGAAAATATGCCATTTGCAATAAAATATTCATAAGTTAGTTCATTTACATTTAATTTTAATGGTTCAACGAATACTAGGCAGAATGGTTGGGGTTCATGCATATTCACCGAATCAAAATTGACCCTCTTTGAAAAATGTTTGCATACCTCTGTCTTAGATGTTCTATTAAGTCTTTATCGGAATCTATACACAAAGCTTTGTTCACTTGATTACACGGGCTTAAAAGCGCATCACGTTGAAACACCGGCTCTCGTACGATCATCGATGTTAAGCAATGTCGAGAATGGCCAGTACCTAGATGGGTGACAGAATGGGAAGACCTGGTGCTGTAAGCTTGGATGCGCGACTGGATAACGGCACGGAATTGGAAATCTGAGAGCCGTTTTCCAATTCCAGTCGGATTCCATATAGTCATTTACACGCAAATACCCTTGAGAAAGGTATGAATCCAATTCACCTACCACAGCTATGGATTAATTAGTATGACCCGTATCTGTAAATTATTATTATCTCTAAAGAAATTCTTACAATCAAAATGTATATATTTCTTGGATTTCTGCAAAAGGTTGATAAGCCATAAAAAATAAATCAGTTAATCTTGTATACAAACTAGTTTAGCCACCTTTTTCTATTTGGTAATTATGTCAGGTTTGACACGTCGTAAATTTTTGCTCGTGTAAATCATTCGGATTTTGCCATATTCTCAACACTTTTAAAACTCTGCCTAGAATTTGCCTTGAATGCCCTAGCCGGGCTACAGTCAAATCTGCACGACTCAATAGAAACTTCGATCCTCACTAGGTGCCCCATACTTTCGGGTTTGTGCTACATCTTAGCCACGCTTAACAAATCACCATACATATTCTGATTGGTTGATTTGTTTTTACGGTTTATCAACCCTTTTATTTACTGGTTATTTAAAGCCAGAAAATATTTTTAGATTGACACATTTGGTGGGGGGATAATAATTGTTTAGTGATACAAGTTTTACTAATTAACCCATAGCTAGGGAGAGAATATGTGGATTCATAGCTTTCCCAAGGCAAAGGTTTTTACGCGTAAGTGAATATTACAAACCCAACGGGAATTGGAACTCGACTCGCCAATTAAAAAATCCGCGCCATTATCTATTATCACAGTAATTGTATCAGTAAGTTAGTATTGGCTCTAAAGAAGTTCTTACAATAAATATATATATATATATATATATATATATATATATATATATATATATATATATATATATATATATATATATATATATATTTTTTAGCTTTCCGTAAAGGTTGATAAGCTATGAAAAATAAATCAGTTAATCCTGATTACATGTACAAACTAGTTTAACCTCCTTTTTCTAATTGGTAATTATATCAGGTTTGACTTGTAACTTCTTCCCATGTAAACTATTCGGATTTTACCATATTCTCAACACTTTTAAACCATTACCGAGATTTTGACATCAATGCTGTAGCCGGGCTACAATCAAATCTGCACTCTGATGAAACCCTTCGATCTGAAATTATATAAACTGTTGATACGACACTGATTTTATAAATATTTGCCAAACTGAAAACTTTTGCAAAAGAACATGAAAATGCGTGCAAGAAGACGGGGAGGTAAACTCAGCCGAATGCAAAATATTTCCAGTCGAAGATGAAGGTTTCTTAAAAGGTTTTCTAAGATCTGTGTCACATAATTGAAACCACTTCACTTGAGGACTTTCAATATCAGTAACAACTAAAATGAACAGCGTATGTAACTTGAAGAGAAAATGATGACATAATGACGATGCTAACATTACAAACCATTTCAAATAAAAGCTTAGGAAGGAAACCTCCATCAATAATGGAAAGAGTGATAACATCTACTGGACTTAAGAAACCTGTTTTTTTGCGGAGGGGGTTAAGAAAATCTTTTAAGACAAAGATTTTATAAATTTCAACCGAAAGTAGTACCGGCTGCTCGGTCAATGAAAGTAAAATGTTTCCTTGTAGGGAAACGGCTAATATTAACATTAGCATTCCTGAAGGTTAAAAACTCCAATTACACCTTTTGTTTATTAGCTTTATTGAAAGCAGAAGTGAGGATTCTATCTGTTGTCAGGTTATGCTATTAATGATCATGGAATTAACCAAATCCCTTTCAGAAATATCAGAACTGTCTGCTGTATATAAGCGCATTCTCAGATCAATGGTTAATATGTCTTTGATCGAGTGAAGTTTATATGACACTGAGAAGATCATTTTTCTTCGTACTTTGTGGACTGGCGCTACAGAATCACAAAGAACTATACCAGATAACGGAAACCACATCACTTGAGGTTTAACAACAGCTGTAACAATTAAAATGAACAGCGTATGTGATTCGAAGAGAAAATGATGACATAATGACGATGCTAACATTACAAACCATTTCAACTAAAAGTTTAGGAAGGAAACCTCCATCAATAATAGAAGGAGTGATAACAGCTACTGGACTTAAGAAACCTGTTTTTCAAAGAAAACCTTTTAACAGAAAGATACTATAAATTTCAACCGTTTTTGTTATTGCTCATTCAGATAGGATAACCTGACAACTGATAGAAACATTACTTCTGCTTTTAATAAAGCTAATAAACAAAAGGTGTAATTGGAGTTTTTAACCTTCAGGAATGCTAATGTTAATATTAGCCGTTTCTCTACAAGGAAACATTTTGCTTTCATTGACGAAGAAGACAGTACTGCTTTCGGTTTAAATTTATAAAATCTTTCTCTTAAAACAATTTCTTAGGAAAACAGGATTCTGAAGTCAAGTAGCTGTTATTGCCCTTTCCACTATTGACGGAGTTTTCCTTACTAAGTGGTGGGAAATGTTAACATTTTGATTATGTGATTATTTCGAATTACATGTGCTATCCATTTTAGTTGTTGCTGATTTAGAAAGTCATCAACATCTTCGATATTACTTCAAGATCAGGCTAGACTATGACTTGATCTTTCCCACAGGACTTTATGCTTGTGATTAAATATTTTAGAGACAAAATTAGAAAGGCAGCCATAAGGACAATAGTGAAACAAAGAAAAATGTTAAAAGTGCACATACGCCATCATAATTAGCGAATTAGCAACGTTTCTGAATCTATAAAGTTGAAAAATATTCTGTTTCAAATCATTCAATAGGTGGCATTTGAATACACGTCACTTCATTTCAAACGAGATCGTATTTATGACGTACATATTCTGACTGAAGTGTCTTCGAGGTGGTATAATAGTAAGGAAGCCTGTCTCGAGAGATAAAATACGAATCAATAGTAACTTCGACCTTCACTGGGTGCCCCATACTTTCGGGCTTGTGCTACATCTTAGCCACGCTTAACAAATGACCATACACCGTCCTGGGTATGACGATAAACTACATCTGCGTCCGGGGTAAGACGATAAACTACGTCTAACAGCAAGGTCTGTGATCAGGAGGTTTTGAGGGGCGTGGAACCACCTCTTAATTGCTTGTATTCCTTGGTCCACCCTGACCCGGGGTGGTAGTATCTGTTGGGGTCCCAGCTATGGGCAAATAGTTAACCCCCAAACTGGGGCCAAAACACTATGAAAGTGTAAAAATAGATTTTAATACCAGAAATACTTTTTTTAAAAATTATTGCCAGCAATACATTTTTGAAGAAAAAATATTACCAAAAATTGATCTACGAAGGAAAAAATATTACCAGCAACAAAAATTTTGCTGGCATTAAAGAACCCATTGAGGTTGATATGCCGTAAAACAAAACAAACCAAACCAAATCACCATACATATTCTGATTGATTTTTTACGGTTTATCAGTCTTTATTTGCAGGTTATTTAAAGCCAGAAAATATTTTTAGATTGACAAATTTTGTGGAGGATAATAATTATTTAGTGATACAAGTCTTACTAATTAACCCATAGCTAGGGAGAGAATATGTGGATTCATAGCTTTCCCAAGGCAAAGGTTTTTACGTGTAAATGAATATAAGGAAACCAGCGGGGTTTGGAACTCGAATCTCCAATTAACAATTCTGAGCCATTGTCTATTTCACGACTCGCACTTTAAAGCTTACAGATCCTGGTAAAGATGAAGTTGGAGATTTTTAAAAACAATTTTCTCACGTATTTCTCGATGGCGAAAGAAGGTTCAATACACATATTTTTCAAGCTGAGACATCCGGCCGTTGACCACATAAGCAGTTTTTTCTTAAATGACGTGTCGATTGATGTAAATAAAGCTGAATTACTACCAGTAAAAAGAATTCCAATAGCATGACACGCAAATATGACTTCTCATTTAAGTAATTTTGTCGCCCGTCCTGGGTATGACGATAAACTACATCCGACAGCAAGGACTCTGATCAGGAGATTTTCAGGAGCGTGGAAATACCCCTTAATTGCTGGTGTTCCCAGGTTCACTCTGATCCGGGCTGGTAGCACCTGTCAGGATCCCAGCTAAGGGCAAATAATTAACCCCCACTCTGAAATTATGAAAATAGGATTTAATACCAACAACATTTTTTTTGAAAAATTATAACCAGCAACACATGTTTGAAGATAAAATTATTACCAGTAATACATTTTACCATCAGAACATTTTTGAAAAAATATTATTACCAGCAGTAAAATTTTGAAAAAAAATATTAGCAATAAATGTTGTCGGCATTAAATAACCCACTGAGGTTGATATACCGTAAAACAAACAAAACCATACTAAAAATCTTGTCGGCATTAAATAACCCATTAAGCTTGATATGCCGTTAACCAAATCAAACTAAACCTAAAAATCTTGTCGGCATTAAATACTCCCATTGAGGCTGATATGCCGTAAAATAAACCAAACCAAACCTCAAAATCTAGTCGGCATTGAATAACCCACTGAGGTTGATATGCCTTAAAACAAACCAAACCAAACTAATTTTGTATTCATAAATCTTGTGCCCAAAACATCGCAGTCTATTCTTTGTCGAAATCTGTTGACTAGTGAATCGATGAAGTTCTCAGGACTCAAGAGCCGTTAAACACAAAACATTCAGAAATAAATATAAACTTCAAAGAGATTTTCAAATATTGATTTAAAAGATTTTAAGGAACAAATCTTTTCAGTATCATAGCTGACTATTATATTTCATTTTCTTATAAAATAGCCTTTTTGAGCCGTTAAACCTGAATAGACATGCACAATCGGCGAGACTACACTTTCTTAACACATATTGAAAATTGCCCGCCATATCTGGACTTGAGCAGCCCAGTCTTCGCTTGCCTGTCTTGATAAAACACTTGCCTGTCTTGATAACGTCTACGTGGACTTATGAGTAATTAACTATCTTCCA